AATATATAGAAAAAATTAGCCGGGCATGGTGGCACATGCCTGTAGTCCCAGCTACTCGGGAGGCTGAGGCAGGAGGATCCCTTGAGCCCAGGAGTGTGAGGTTGCTGTGAGTTAGGCTGACGCCACGGCACTCTAGCCCAGGCAACACAGTGAGACTCTGTCTCAAAAAAAAAAAAAAAAAAAAAAACCATATGCTGGGCAATAATGTACATCTCAATAAGTTCCAAAGAGCTGAAATCATACAGAATATGTTCTCAATCAAACTAATTAGAAATCAAAAACAAAGAGCTAACCAGAATATTCCCAAAAATTTGGAAATTAAGCAGTATATACTTTCAATAACCCATGAGTCAAAGGAAAAATCACAATGTAAATTAGAAAATGCTATGAACTGAGCAATAATAAAAACACGGCATATCCACTTCCATGAAAAAGAAACACACAGCATTAAGAACAGCATTAAGAACAACAAGAGGGACAGCTGACCCTGTTAACGAAGTGGAGGAGGTCTTCCTTATTAAAGAAGCCATACTTCATCCAAGATCTGGAGGATGAACAGATTTGACTGGGCTAAGAAGGGAGAAGACAGCATGCCTAGCAGAAGGGACGGTGTGTGCAGAGCCCTGTGGCAGAAAGTCACACGTAGGCCAGCATGGCTGAAGCATCTCACAGAAGCAGCAAATGAAGCCACAGAAGTACATGAAATCACATGTGGAAAAAAAGAAGAAAAAGAAAAAGAGAAGAGAGAGGAGAGAGAGGGGGAGGAGGAGAAAAAGGACATACTACACAAAAGCCAAAAAGAGAGGTTTCTTCAAGAAGGAGAAAATGGTCAGCACAGTTGAATGCTACTGAAAGCTCAAGAAGCACAAAGATCTAAAAACGTCTGTTGGATTTAGTGACGTGGAGGTCACTGTTGCTATTTCTTCTTAGCAAGCACTGTTTTCCACTGCAGTTGCTCAGTCTAACTTGGTGGTGTAGGAGGTAGAGTGGGTAGACGCAATGCACAGTATTACAGAATATTTACAAATATGTAAAATATCAGTGTGAGCATACGTAGTGCATAGAAACAAAAAGGGAGGAAATATACTGAATGTAGTGAACATACACGGATTGAGATTATGGATAACTTTTTCCTCCTTTATAATTTTATAACATTATTAATAATTTTTAAAATAAGCAAATGTTAATTATAGAAATAAAAAATGTTTTAATTCATCATTTTAAAATTGTATAGAGCTAGAAGGAAATAATGAAGTTTAGGGTTAATTCTGCAGTATCTTTATCTAGGGACTTAGTAACAATCTTTTATTGAAAGGAGAATGAAAAGGATGTTTAGTTGGGGTTCTTATTATAAATCAAGGATAAACAAAGTAAAATTCTAAAAACCATTAGGTTTTAGACAGTTGATGTCTAAAGGGATGAATTATTTTACCAGTTCTTTTCCTAACACCATAACCTCTGTGAAGCCTTGTGTTTGTTGTAAAATGTAAGTTTGAAAAGTTAGGTGTTAGGTGTTTAAGGGGGAGAAAGTCAGCAGTCATAAAAGGTACTAGAGATGACTGGTCTTGTGTCTTTCATATTCCTTTATGGCCTCACCTCCACTTACCCAGTGGCACACTTCTTGTATTCACCGCCAGAGAGACCACAATTGCCGAATCTGTCACCTTTAGAATTCACTTCAATGAAACAATCTTTGGGGGCAGCCTTGGCTTCTGTAACATTAAACATTTAAAAAAGAAAAAAAAAAAGTTACGGCAATTTAACTTCAGAAACAGTGAAAGTATTCCCTATGACAATTTATACACCTGGATGTACTACTGCCTCAACTGACCTCTGAAAAAAGTTTCAGGCCTTACACACAAAACATTTTTGTTCCACATTTTATATTTAACGACAAAATGTAAAAATAAAGCTTACATTGTACCAAAAAGTTAGCCTAGACTTAAACATTCAGGCCCTAAAAGAAATGTCATTAAACAAGAAACAGTAAATAAATTTGAAACCATGCACAGTACAACACCATTTGCAGCATGTTCATTCTCATTGTTCTCACATATAAATCTACTGCACTACTGGTTAGACCGGCCCAGGAAGGGTTGGAGAAAACACTGCCAGCTATTACTTTTGTTTTGTTATTTACCATATATGGATGCTGAGTTTAGGTGTTCCTACTAAATAGATAAATTGACAAACACTCATGACAGACGACAAAGCATCAATCTATTCTTGCTTTCATATATATCTCACTTAAATTCGATTTTTCCACTTAATTATACATTCTTAAAAATATTTTATTTAGAAATAGTTTTAAGCCAAAATGCCAGTACTTCCTCTTTAATAAAGGTAGTTCATGTGCCTATCTTATATATCTGATACTATGTTGTTTAGTTTTAAAGAAAATGGATGTGGAGTAAAAGGAGTTACAGCAAAAAAGAGGCAGAAGATCAAATAACATGAGAAATGAATACAGAAAACCTGCACAGGATAAATGTTACATGGCAACAGCCACAGCCAAGCCCTTATAAAGAACAGAAATAGCCATTAAAATTCCAGACAATATATAAAGAAAAAAATAACAATAGCTCTCTTAGTCCTAGGCCTTTTCACAAACCTCTATGAAAGTCATATCTTTTCTGAGTGATAGTATTTAGCTCATTAAAATGCCTATCTGTAATTACTTTTTTTAGTCCAGAATAGCCTGCCTATTCCTGCAAAATGAATCGGAAGTTGACAGATCTCTACCATCCTATCCCATGACCTGACTGATGTAAGTCCCATGTATTTATGAGAGAGTCTTCTCTCCTTAATCCCTATCTGACGCACTGTAAGATAAGGGTACAAAAGAAATTAGAGACACAGTGGTCTGGTCAAAATCAACAACTGTAGCTTCAGAGAAATCCCACACTGTACACATGACTGATATTACCGTGTTAACAAAAATTTTAAAAAAATAAGAACAGAAAAGGCAAAGTAAGGATCTGAGTTTCCTTCCTCTCTCTCTCCCTCCCTCCCATTAAATATTAAGTGTCCCACAGCCTGACAGGTAATGGATATAGTTTACCAGTAGCTCTCTGAAGGAAAGCAGAAAAACTCCTACGACTAACTCTCTGTTCTCTCTTCTTAATTAAAGATAAGCCTCAACAAACATATGGCACTCACATAATCCGTTAAGGCGAACATGTTGTTGCTGTTCCTATTAATTCAAAACAAAAAGGGAAGAAGATGGGAAAACAGGACTCTAGAATGGTTTGGGCATAAATCATCGCTGCCAACGATCAATCAGAGCAATCTGCCTAACTGTGCTGAAAAGCAACCTCTTCCTGGAGCAGCCGCGATCATCTGAAGCCAATAAAGGAAACACAAGGACGCAGCACTGTGGGCTACTGCTAGCACCAATGTGCAAGCACCATAAAGCTGACCAGCAGTACTGCCATGCCTCTGTGTGAACTCTCCACGGTTTCTCGCCAGAACTACCACACAGCAGCTACTTAGATCCTTTCCCTGCTCTTCAAAACTATGCTCCACAACATTGCCAGAGAAATCCCAGTCATGTCATTTCCACACTTAAAATCCATGGTTCCCATTATCTAGGGCAGAAAAATCTCAGCCTGAAATCCATGGCCCCAAAAAGGTTAAGGTTAGCAACTTGAAGGATATAGTACAAGTTCCTGAAAAAGTCTGACTTCCAACTCTGTGGCCTCTCCTCTTCTCATTCCCTCAGGAACAGCACATGTTCTACCTATACTGCACTTCTGAGAGCATATATTCTGGCCTGTGGAATAACTGTAAAGGTCAGGACTTCCCATCAAATAATTTTGCCAAAAAAGAAACCATAAGAATGTTGTGTTCTTTCAGCAGACTACTGGAATAGAACAGAAAATCCAAAAATAGGCCCAAGTATACATGCTGCTTTAATGTGTTGATAGAAGTACTAATTCAAATCAGTAGGAAAACTAAATTGCTCAATAAATCCCAGAAGAATTAAAGACTTAAACATATAAAGTTAAAACATAACAGTGCTAGAACCCAACCTTTTGGGCACCAGGGACTAGTTTCATGGAAGATAATTTTTCCATGGAATGGGGGGAGGGGGTGGTTTCAAGACGATCCAAGTGCATTACATTAATTGTGCACTATTATTACTATTATTTCTATTATTATTACATTGTAGCGTATAATGAAATAATTATACAAACCTCTCTGCTAATGATAAAGCCACTCCCCAGAGCTAGCATCACTGGCTCAGCTCCACCTCAGATCATCAGGCATAAGGAGCCCGCAACCTAGATCCCTCGCATACACAGTTTACAGTAGGGTTCATGCTCCTATGCGAATCTAATACCACCGCTTATCTGATAGGAAGCAGAGCTCAGGCAGTGATGCAAGCAATGGGGAGCAGCTATAAAAACAGATGAAGCTTCGCTTGCTCATCCACTGCTCACCTCCTGCTGTGCAGCCCAGTTCCTAACAGGCCACAGACCAGTACTGGTCTATGGCCCCAGGGGTTGGGAACTGCAGTGCTAGAAGACCAATTACAGTCATGTGCCACATAACAATGTTTCAATGACAAATCAACAAACCGTATATACAATGGTGGTCCCATAAGATTATAAGACTGTTTACTGTATCTTTTCTATGTTTAGATACACAAATACTTGCCATTGTGTTATAATTGCCTACAGTATTCAGTACAGAAACATGCTGTACAGGTTTGTAGCCTAGGAGCAATAGGTTACCATATAGCCTAGGTGTGTAAAAGGCTATGTCATCTAGGTTTGCATTAAGTACCACTCTATGATGTTCACACAATGATGAAATCACCTAGGCATTTCTCAGAATGTATCCTCGACATTAAGTAACACATGATTTGTAAATATTCTGAGGAAGGGAAATTTCTAAGCATGACACCAAAGACAGAAACCATAAGAGAAAAGATAAATGAGAAAAAAGTTTAATTATATCAAAAATCAACATCAGCAAAACTAAACAACAAAGGACAAAATGGGAGAAAATGTTTGCAATGTATTAAAAATAATTAATATCCTTAATCTTAAAAAAAACCGACAACTTGCAAAATAGCAATATGGAATAAATACCTTAGTAGAAAAATGAAGGACAGAAACAAGCAAGACATAAGAGAAATAATACAAATCACCAATATCAATATAAAAGAACTAAAACCCACTAGTAATTAAAATGCATATTTTAAAATAATAAAAATATGTTTTACATTTATTAAATTAGCAAAGTTTTAAAAATGGAAACATAGTGTTGGAAATATTTGAGGAAATGAACATATATTCAAGGTATGTAACTAATGAGGGTATAAAGTGGTATAATATTTCTGAAGATTACGTGGATATCTTAAAAGCTTTTAAAGAACATAGTCTTTAATACAGGAATTCTGATTCTGGAAATTTATCCTGAAGAAGAAATGGAGGCAAAGACTAAACTATACAGATATTCACTACTAGTACTGTTGACTGCTTAAATAAACTGTGGCACGTCATTAGCATGATGTTGTAGAAAAATACTTAATAACAGGGAAAAATACTCAAGATTTATTGTTAATACTGGAAAAAGGGCAGTTTTAAAGTATATATCAATATGATCCCATTTTTGTATATTACACACACATGCACTCATATGCATAAAACATATGTGAAAGATAGTCATCAAATTTTTCAGTGGTTACTTATCCAGAATATTGAGAGTACGGAAAATATTTATTTTCTACTTTTTGCTTATTTGTATATTCAATATTTCAAAAAATATGTTCTACCTCCATTTAAGAAAGTATTAATAAATCAATGTAAGTTATTGTCTTTTAATGATGTCTTTGATAAATTCTAGCAAAAAGTCTTCATCAGCTCACCATGCTCATGGTGGCTGAGATCATAGTTTTGCTGCTTTCTGTTTGTGTGGCCTTGGGCAAACCACATATCTCTCTGAGGCTTACCTTCCTTACAAAGTTTTCTTAAGGCCCAAATTTGATAATAAATGTCAACATCTCTTATATGTTAGCTCTCAAACTCTTCATTTATTTGATAAATATTTATTTAGCATTTACTAAAAAAATAATTTTGAGAATACATAAGCCAGTGAAGGACTTTTAAACCCTTATACCCCACAAGTTCAAAAGTTCATAGGAATGAAAACTAGACCTATAACATCTGAGTTAATGGGCTATATCTTTAAAATCATAAGCCATATGCAGACTTCAGGCAAAAGGCCTGAACACGTCCATGTATTTTCCCTCCCTCCTAAAATCTCACATAAGCAAAGAAAATCGATTACTTTTTGTAATTCCTAAACCTTTTCCCAGTTAGAGAGTGGAACTGGGAAAGGAGCCAGCACAGAATTTTAGAAGCTGAAAAGCAGCGGTTAAGTGGTAAATGACTTAGTTTATCTGAGAAAACTAAATCTTAAGCTGCCAGTGGAAAAAGCTGAGATCAACACCTTTTACACCATAGAATTCCACAAAGATAGGAAATTAGTAGTACTAGACACCTCCAGATATAGGGGTAAGGAGCAGCATGTGGCTTGAGCAAAGAGAAAAAGTTTCAAGTCTATTTAAAAAGAGTTAGATCCACAGATCACCTCCTCTCTCTGTGCAGCCAGATGACTGCCTCTTCTCTACCCTGGCAAAAGAAACGGGTTTATTTTCCGGAGAGAGTAAAACACAAGGTTTCAGGACTCAGAGATACCAGGC